CAAAATATTTGATTTTTTTGAAGGGCCGAACGGGACCATCATATAACCCAGTCCAATTCCTAATGCGCATAGTATATGGTTAGACTACGACGGTATTTGATCGTCTTCGTGGCCTCCTTTCTTCACTGGTAAATGAAAAAATTTTAGCGAATGCTTTCGCAGTAGTTAGTCTTCAGCAAATACAAGAATTTCACCTCTGACAGCCGAATACTGACGCCCCGACCATCCCTATTAATCATTACGGCGGTCCTAGAAACCAACAAAATAGAACCACACGTCCTAATTCTATTATTCCATGCTAATGTATCCGAGCAAAGGCCTGCTTTGAACACTCTAATTTTTTCACAGTAAAAGTCCTGGTTCCCCCCACAGCCAGTGAAGGCCATGGGGCTTCCCAGAAGGAAAGGTCCGGCCGGACCAGTGCACGCGGTGAGGCGGACCGGCCAGCCAGACCCAAGGTTCAACTACGAGCTTTTTAACTGCAACAACTTTAATATACGCTATTGGAGCTGGAATTACCGCGGCTGCTGGCACCAGACTTGCCCTCCAATTGTTCCTCGTTAAGGGATTTAGATTGTTCTCATTCCAATTACAAGACCCGAAAGAGCCCTGTATCAGTATTTATTGTCACTACCTCCCCGTATCGGGATTGGGTAATTTGCGCGCCTGCTGCCTTCCTTGGATGTGGTAGCCGTTTCTCAGGCTCCCTCTCCGGAATCGAACCCTAATTCCCCGTTACCCGTTGCCACCATGGTAGGCCACTATCCTACCATCGAAAGTTGATAGGGCAGAAATTTGAATGAACCATCGCCGGCGCAAGGCCATGCGATTCGATAAGTTACTATGAATCACCAAGGAGCCCCGAAGGACATTGGTTTTTTATCTAATAAATACACCCCTTCCGAAGTCGAGGTTTTTAGCATGTATTAGCTCTAGAATTACCACGGGTATCCAAGTAGTAAGGTACTATCAAATAAACGATAACTGATTTAATGAGCCATTCGCAGTTTCACCGTATAGTTTGCTTATACTTAGACATGCATGGTTTAATCTTTGAGACAAGCATATGACTACTGGCAGAATCAACCAGGTAGCTGACTTCCGGACCCGGCGGCCAGGGCCCCCGGGTCTAAACCCCCGGAGGGGGCAGGAGTAGCTAGACGGAAGGGGTTCCCGCGAAGGAACCCCCCGCGCGCAACCCAGCGGCGTACCGCGCAGGCTGCCCGAACGGCATTCGATTGCCCCCACTGAGATTTTCAGAGGACGGTCCGCGGCAGGATCGTGTGCCGGCCGCGAGGGCGAACCCGCTGCCGCATCGGTCCCTCGATGGAGGATCACCGCCCCGG